GGACCGGGGCGGACTGGGGCGGGGCGGGGCGGGGCGGGGCGGGGCGGGGCGAAGAAGTCAAATCCTTTTTTCAGAGGCTCATCTCAAATTGGTCAATCAGGTTTTTTAGTTATAAATTCTAGATTATAGTTAAATCGAGATGTCATTATGCAAAACAAGTTTACATTTAACATTATTTGATGTTAATATTGTCACGTGCTAATATAAATGAAAGTATTTCGTTGAATATTGAGCACCCGTCAGATTTAGATTTATTTATAATGCGAGTAAATTCACGAATATTTGCCTCGATCATGTCCTTGCTGAGTGCCCATCTATCGCGACATTCTAATATATCTTTACACCTTGGTCTCTTAATAGCGTCGAATGACACCATAGATACCGATGTTTAATATATTATTTATATTACTGTGAAATATTTGTATTGCTGTATTTTTCAGTCCCACTAAAATAATTTTTAAATAAGTAATGTAATAATATTTGATAAATTCCCAATTTAATACATACTCTAAGTATATGTCAAACAATTCCATTGCAATGATACCCAAACTATAAATGTCTGCTTTTGTGCCATACTTTGTTTGAGGCATTGATACTTCTGGGGCCATATAATCAGGTGTTCCCAAGTATTTGGTGTGTCTTTGAGAAGCCGTCCGGTGTTCAACAGCCAAACCAAAGTCGCATAACTTAACAAATCTACCTTTCTTTGCATTTTCAATGATTAATATGTTTTCTGGTTTGAGGTCTCTGTGAATGATCTGTGGATCCCAGTCATGCAAATACTGAACACTTTCTACGATCTGACGGAATATTCAACAGGAAATGCAATACTCGACACAAGCCATGGCTTCTCTTAATTTTCTAGTAAATACTTGTGGTTTCACTTCAAGAATATTCCGTAAATTCTGTGAACAGAACTCCATCTGATTGTAGAGCGCGTTCCCTTCAATCCATGAGTTGTAATACTCGACCACATAATCCGACCGAACTTTGCGTAAACTTCTAACATCTCTACAAACGTGTTGTAAGTATATGTCAAGGTATCTAAAAAATATACGTCAAATCTATTAGCATCAAGTAATTTCTTCAGATTTTATTTACTCTGGAACTCCACTCTTTTGACGGCATATATCTGTTCGTCTAATTTATGCTTCACTTTAAATACAGTCCCAAAACCTCCCGTACCGATGGGGTTGTCCGACAAATCAATGAAATGACTTCTATAATGACTTTTATTTGAATTGTTTTCCATATCTGATGTGTCCGATCCTATAAGTATATTGCATTCAAATTAAACATATCAGTAAACAGCTTTCAAAATCATTGGGAAGATTTATTCCCATAAACTTTGCTAAACTTAAATATTGCCGGAAAGAAGATTGATTATGAGTATAGATAATAACATTAGAAAGTTGTACTTAAGTAGCATATATTGTATTATAATGAATCATGTATAAAAATATTTTTGATAGTTATTAATATTTGTAAACATAACACATTTGTTTTTTCTATTAAATATAATAATTGATTTAATTTTACTTTAATATTTAATTGACATTTAATATGGCATTTTTTAATACAGACAATTTATTTGAGTATAGTGAATGTGATATAACTGAACGGAATATAATTAAAATGTTTGTCGACAATTTTTGTTTGTGCAAAAAATGTAATGTTTATAAAAATGATTTTAATTTTATTAAGAGATTAATTGACCATAGATTATGTATTAAGGATTTGGACAATAAATCTAAAGATTTAATTATATTTACATATTTTTCTACAGCATTGTGTGAAAATAATCAATGTTACTTTGTGTTTCGTAATAAGGAAATTTGTAAGTCTTTTTGTTTTTATGTTCAATATGTGATCAAAAATACACTCATTTATTAAAGTATTATAAAATTAATAATATATGTGAAAGGGAAAGTAAAAACTTTAATAATAATAATGAAAAATATTCTTTTGATATGAAAAATAATTGTGTACAATTTTTAGATAATTTTGCAAATAATTTTGGATATCCATTGCCTGGAAATATAGATAATTTTAATATTGAAACTACTCGGGTGACATTATCTAGTAATTATACTAAAGTATCTATTTATGAGATATACAGACATGTATTAATAATGAAAATGCTTTTATTAGTTTCAATTCATTTAGTAAATTGTGGTTAAAGTATAGATCAGATATTAAAATATTGACACCTAAATCTGATTTTTGTTTTAGTTGTAAAAAATATTTAAATGACTTATTATATGTTTCAAACGATTCCGATGATAAAAATCTATTTAATGATTATGTGAATCATCGCAATTGTGTTATTAAACAACGAAACTATTGTAATATACAAAAAAATAACTAAAAAGTTATATCAAAATTATTGCAATGACAATAATAATCCTGTTCATTATTCTGGTGTATTACACTTAAGTTTCGATTTCATGAAAAACCTAGTTTCCAAATTTTACATTACAGCCGGGTATGTTAAATAACTATTGTGCATGCATATTTTAAAAATAAGAACTATTTTAATATTTATTATTTTTACTATAGATTTGTTATATTTTAAAAGTCCCAGAAATGCCCACATATTTGGTATAAATTGTGGCAATAACAATTTCCAGACAAATTACATAATTGACGAGGGTGATGTTGTTTTAAAAAATGGAGATTTAGTTATATCGTTATTACACCACTATTTGAATAATAAGAAAAATACTGAATACTTCAAGCAGATAATTGTGTGGCACAGAATAAAAATAATGCTGTTATGTTTTATTTAATGTGGAGAATGTTACAGGTAAATTATTATATAGTATATACCGCATTCCGGAACAAATAATAGCATGCCGTTATAATAGTTTGATTATTTTTATATAAATACATTTATCACACCTTACATATATCAGTTAGCTGTTCATTTTTGTTGTATAAATAAGTTTAGGTTAAGTAACACATTTATTTATTCTAAACGGTCATAATTTTTAAATATATCTTGGATCATTTTTATTACGTTTTTAAAAATTCCAACATTATTCTGTTTGTCATTAAAATGCACTTTAAATTAAGTTATGAATTATTACAATTTAACAAAATTCTGTTTCTAACTTTTTAACCTTATTTCCTAGAACAAATCTGAATAGCTCATTGGAAAAAACATAGAGAATTAGTCTAGATTTGAATTTAATATTTTTTATAAATAAACATTTCAATAGGCTAATTAGGTAGTAAAACATCATAAAACCATTTTTGTTAAAATGATTAGCCTCGTTTATAACGGCATGTTAGTGCTTGTGCGGGAATACGGTATTAAAAACTTGATATTTTAAATTTAATTTGTAATTCATATAAAAAATTATTTAGGGTCTGTCAACTAAAATTGAAATCAATTTTCTTATATCCGGTCACACCAAATTTGCCCCCGATGGTGGGTTTGGGTTAATAAAAAGATGTTATAATCATAGCGATTGTGAGACAATTCTGGACATTCAAAATATTATTAACAATTCTGGTGAAAATAATATTTCTCAGCTCATTAGGGAACCGATAACTAAAAACATTTTAGTGAAATATAATAATTGGACTTTATTTTTAAATAATTTTTTTGTTAAGATTCCAGATATTACAAAATATCACCACTTTATGTTTTCTAAAAATTTTAAAAATTATCTTAAAGTTAAACATTATTGTGATTCTCCTATAGAAAATATTTGTATACTTAAAAATTCTGTAGATATAAACATATTTCCTAATAATTTATTTCCTAATATAGTTAACCCACCAGGTCTATCACATGAACGCACAGTTTATTTATATAACAATATTCTACAATTTTGTTTTAAGCCATTATCTAAAATTATAACATGTCATGTTCCTGATACTCTTATTAACAAATCTAAAACTAAGTGTAAAAATAAATCTAAAATACAAAAACTTAATTAATTTAATAAAATGTTTTCATATGATATAAAATATTTTTATACATGATTCATTATAATACAATATATGCTACTTAAGTACAACTTTCTAATGTTATTATCTATACTCATAATCAATCTTCTTTCCGGCAATATTTAAGTTTAGCAAAGTTTATGGGAATAAATCTTCCCAATGATTTTGAAAGCTGTTTACTGATATATAATATATTAATTTAAAATATCCTATAAATATTAATTTAATTAATGATTACCTGTTGCGCTCAATTCATGGTTGGTGTCATCAGGGTGGTGAATGCGCAACGTATTATAAGTGATTTGGTATACATTGGCATAATAATCAATGAAATTATTATATTTATATGTTTTCCGTTTGCGCGGCGATACATTTGTGCCATAAATGCGACGAGAATAGCGATTTAATGGGTGTTAAACCGGGGATCAGTTTGGGTGACAATATGCCGTCTGGATTTGGATGACCCGTTTGACAGTCTTTATTCGCACCCCAACTGAATACCATACCATCGGTGGTAATGGCGAACGAGTTGATGGTCGTACACAACAGGCTTTGGATGCGATAATTATACTCAATTTGCAGTAGAATTGATGATAGGATTATATCACGGCTTTCACCGCAACCTACTTGTCCCCAATTATTATAGCCCCACCCGTACACCTGTCCACCGGTGGTGAGCGCCAGGGCGTGAAATTGGCCGCAATTTATTTGCGCGATATTCTTGTCCTTCAAATATGAGATGTTTTCCGGCTTTAAATGAATACCATTTTGTGTGACATTTTTGCCCAATTGTCCAAGCTCATTGTTACCCCAACCGAACACATGGTTGTCCGCATTCATAGCCAACACAAAGCCATATCCAGTGATAAACTGTTGAATTCGTTGTCCCCGTAATTCCGGTATAATATGCGGTGTATTGACGGCATTTTCATGACCCAAACCCAGACATCCCATTTCGTTATGCTCTTTCCAAAGATGTGTCGCTTGTCTTTCTAGGACTTATAGTTTTTGCTGTACATAAAACCTACCTGTGCCGAGCTACCGGTGCTCTAATCAAGTAGTCTCTTCGGGAGAATACATAAAAGCAAAAACCATAGTT